CTGGCTCCCCCTGTCCCGGGCCCACTCTGGGTTCAGGACCTGTCGTCCCTCCTTGCCTGGGGGGTTAGCTGGCCTGACTCCCAGCACACAGATCTGGGCGGCCCCAAAGGCTTCTGGGACAGATGGCTGCTTCCAGGACCCACTTGGGAACCCCTCCCGCCCCTCACGGCTCCAGGCTGCCCACTGTCCCTCCTCCCGTCCCCGCTGCCCTGCCCTTGGTGAGAGCGCCACCTCCCTGCACCGCAACCCTCCTTTCCTGCTGGACCGAGAGCAAAGGACAAGAACAGGGACTCTGGGCCCAGAAGGTTCGAACCCCAGCTTCTTGAAAAACCCAATCACTAGACACAGGTATACTCGGAGATGGGGTCCACTCGCTTTCTGTCCACCCACCTTGCCCAGAAGTGGAAGCTGGACTGTTTCTCTTGGCGTGGGCTCCCGGGTCCCGGCTGCGCCCCCCTCCACACCCTCGGGCCCCACCGCCTGCGCTGGGGTGGAGGACAGCCAAGAGAAGCACAGTGTCCCTTGCACAAGCCTCCAGGCTGCAGCCCCGGGAGGGCCGTGCTTGTAATTCTTCCCGAGTTCCAGGCTTCACTGGCTCCGGGAGGCTGGCTGCTTAAAAAACTATGCTCACAGACGGGGGTTCAAGCTACAATGGCCTGTCACGGGCACGTGGAGATTTTACGTCACAACTCAGAAACCCGGTCTCCGGAAAACGGGAGTTTATTTTTATACTCTGTAAATAGTAGCTTCGCGATCAACACAAACACGGAGCGATCTCAATGGTGTTCACCCGGAGGACAGTCTGTGGGTTCACGATAACTGGAAAAGACAGACAACAGGGTCACCGCTCGGCCATGGATTCTGCCGCTGTTCGTGAGCTATAGTGAAACCCTGCTGCTGGGCCACCCGAACTTTCCATGGGGTTGGCCTCACACCGGCTCTCCCCAGGCGGCAGGCACGTGTGGGCCCCGGCGGCCACCTGCCGTGAGCGCGTCATGGCGGGTGCTTTCCTCTCTGCCCACACGGCCCACGGGCACCATCAGACACAGCAACACCAGGGCCTGGAGGCCAGGAGCGTCCTGGCCTGGGGGCGGACGGTCCGTCTGCCCGAACCTGGGGCTACCTGATGGCGGCAGAGTGTAGGAGAGGCTCCTCCTGGCCTGACCTGCGGGGAGGCTGGCCTACTGGTTCGGGATATTTTAGGGACTCCCCACTATGAACAGCTTAGGCAGCCCTTACGGCGTCACCAAGGACCGTGGGTGCTATGCGCTCCCGGGGGCAGGATTCCATAGCCCGCGCGTCCCAGCCACGAGGAGCCCCCACCCTGTCAGTTAACCGGGCAACGGAAGGTGGCCGTGGACTGGGGCAAAGAAGGGTGACGTGTGGGGGTCAAAAAGAACGGGGCGGCACGGGCCAGGCCTCGGCTGGGCGCTCCCCCAGGACGGGGGGGCAGAGTGTGGGTAGTGCCAGCTGGACTGAGACCCAGGCGGGTCTCCTCCAGCCTGGGGCCTCCTCCCTGTGAGCCCAGGTGCCCCGGTGCCCTCTACCCTGGATGCGTGGAGCCCGGCACCCACACCAAGAGGCTGGGCGGGGAAAGCCGGCCTCCTGTCCTTGCTCAGGGGACGCTCTCGCCTTCCTGACCCCTCGCATCGCACCCTCTGCAACACTCCTGCAGCGCGCTCCAAAACGCCCCGGGATGAGGCCTCCTCTCCCCTTCCCGCTCACTGGCCGCTAAGCCCACCCCGCGGCTCCTCTGTTCCCTCACGTGCTGCTCACGAGCCCCTGCCTGTGCACCCACGCAGGGGACACGCACAGGTGACACGCACGAGTGAGGTCTCTGCTGTGAAGTCAGCCCTCAGACTCGCTGCTCCCAACTCCACCCTGGGTCTCCCCAACCGCGCCAGGGTGCCTCCTCCCTGCGCGGCTCAGGCGGTCGGCCACCGCGGATCAGGGCCTGCCTTGTCCCGTCGTCCTCATGCCGCAAGCTGCCCGAACCGTCATCAGGCGGCTCCCCCTGGTCCACGGTGGGCTTTGTTTCTTCCCTCTCTGACCTCTGACCTCACCCCGTGCCACCTGAGGGGAGCCTGA